TATATATGTAGTGATGAAACAAATGGCACTGAAAAGCCTTAGTTCAAACATTTCAAACTTAAAAAGATTTTAGAACAACAAATGTGAAAAATATATGAACTCTCGGACTCAATCATTTGCACTCACCAATGGACCATTAGCAAATGTGCCAAAGGTAGCGATCAGGAAGGCTTTCCCCTCTTTCTTAATGCTTTTGGAAACCACCCAGGTGCCATGTGATGAATTCCACACCAGCCAGTGTGGAATGGAGATGGTGGCCAAACCCATAGCCAGAACCAATGACCAGACATGAGAAAGGCAAACTAGATCACCCAACCCCAGTTACCAGTCAGACAACTTCACTGTGTAAATATCTACAGGGCAAGCTCACCTTTGCTACGGCAGACTTAGTCCCTTGACAGTGTCAGGTATCACCAGGATGAAACACTGCACTGCCTTAGGTCAAAATCAAATTCATAACTATTGTTTTTCTTGTATCTTCATTATAAAGATTTTTTACTTTTAAGGTATTTAGAAAATCAGACATGATAATGACAACAGTGACTCTGGTTTTTTGTAATACCAGAACAAGTTAATTTCTTTATGTGTTGGCATCTACTATTAAAGTAAAAAGTTATAATGAAAATAATAACATTTACTAATACATACAGTTAAGACACACATGAAAGAATTGAAATTCAGTAAATACGTTAATACAGTAATATATTTTGATATTATAAGAATAGCATATTAAATTGAATGTGAAAAGCTGCCTTAAAATGGCTAAATTCAGAAAGGTAAAAAAAAAAAAAAAAGGGAGTCTAGCTGAAACCAATTGAATAGAAATACAGTACAAAGAAAAAAATAGAATTCCCTCAATATGCTTGTATTCTAAATTCTATACTTGACTTAAACATACCTTACACTAGTGTTACTAGGAACATGATCATTCCTGTATCTGATTAAGGAACTTAAAATATATACAACTGTTCAGTGTTAGGAAGTAATACATGTATCTTACTCATTTAAAGTTAGCAAGTCTATCAACTATTATGTATGTAGTCAGGCACTAAATGTGGAAGACTTTACTATTACCAACTTTCTTTGACAGAAGAACATTTATGACTTCTAAAGCTGAAATTAGTCATCCACAAACACAGG